CTGTGTGCGCCACTGGTCTAAACATTTTAGAACAATTTTCAAACACTTTTACTAATTCAATACTAATTAGCAAGTAGGTATCCAAGTACAATGTACAATGACGTTAAACAAAAACTAATTAATAAACAGTAAAGTTCCGGTCGCTTACCAGACTCAAGAATCCGGAAAGGAACACCAGTGTATAGACTAAAGCAGCCCACAGATCGGACAGGATTCCCCTGGTCGTTAATTCGTATACAAATGTCAGAAACCAGACTTCCGATAGAGCTGCCGTAGCCACCATTTTTTGTCCGGCTTGTAATTGCATGTCATATATCCACATTGTAACTATTGAAACGCTACAAAGGCCGACAACGATGCTGACCACCGTAAGCATAACCGAAGTCCTGTTAACAATTAAAAAAAAAATATGTTTTAACTCCAGTCCATCGAAAAAAAATTATTAAACAATCACTGCCGAACGCTCACCAAAAAGGATTAGACTTGGAATACAGTCGACCCGCACTAGTTGTAATATTACCAAATCCCAAATGAGTAGTGAAGAAAAATTGTACTACAGCGTGATACCATATCTGAAAAAATAAATAAATTTATATGTAATATGGTCTTTTCTATATTATAACATACTCTTTACATTAAACACCTGCCTAAATATAAACTCACTTAACTATTTGAACACTTTTTTCAAATACTTTCAAACGCCTAATTAATTCTTCTATGTTATTTGATTATTTTTATGTAACATGAAAATGTTGTTTTTTAATTATTTTTTTAAGGTTTAATTAAATCAAAAACTACTATACTTTTTAACAATTTTGGCTTTAAAATACAGTACCTATACTAATAAATTATTTTAATAGTAATAATAATTATTGAAATCAAATGTTAAAAATTGAAAAAAGTTATTTTTAGTATACCAAACACCACATTGAGAGATACTCTAAATAAAAATATGTAAATCACAATGCTAAATTTAGAACATAAGTTTAAGTCTAAAATATCTATAATTAAATTATACATAATAATATCGTGCGTTTACTGAATTACCTACTAATTAATGATGGCGCTTTAAATTTTTTTCTAAGAGTGTAAAACTAGAATATTCAAGGTAAAAACAATTAATGAACTTACGTCAAGTTTCAACAAATTCTCCCATTGAATATCCAGCAGTATTTCCAGTCCTCGTTGATTTGCGTTAAGTCCTTTGACCAACAAAACGGCAATAGTTACAAACGTGGCGGGTACGACAAGTAATGCTACTGTTCTGTAGGATTTACTATTTTTTATCAGGCTAAAAAAAATAATAAAAATTAAAGGGTTTTCTATTACTAAAATAGAGCATTCAATTTTTTACAATAGCTATTTATAGTAGACTAAATTAAATGTAAGTTGATTGAAACTCTGTGACGCAATAAATATTTCACTTGTTTCTCTATTCGCATTGTTCAATAATATTATAAATAACTTATAAGTCAAATGCCAACATCAGCTCTAGTATGATATATATATATATATATATAATAATAATATATATATATATAATTATCAAGTAAACAGTGATAAGGTAATCATAAAACCAGAAACCGATTGACTTAATCTAATGGGCAGGGTTAGGAAGTGGCAGGAATTGTGTTGACAGTTATATCTTAATATAAAGTGTCATCATTGGGTAGCTTCTTTACTCACGTTTTATTTTATTTTTTTATGTATACTAAAGTTATCTTTTTTACATCATATATAGGTACTTACTATGTCTACTGATATAGTAGGGAAGTATATTTTGATTTGAAATAAATATAAAAAAAAAGTTGTTAATATGGTCGTACATTACAGAAGAAGTTTATGTTTGTTATGTTAAGTTAGACAACCTAACCTAATCTAACCTGGTAAAAAAACATTATCATCAATAATATCAATTATAATATTTTGCTAAATTAATATCTATTATTCATGTTTAGGTAAATGTGACAGAATTAACGACCGACACGAAAAACATATTAAATAATTTATGAGACTTATCGCAACGAACAAAGGTGTATATCCCAAAAACATGTATAATTTTAAAAATATTCCTGTTCATCAAAGTTTACTATAAAAATAGTTTTAAACCTAAAGTAATTAGGTATTTTGAGACAATAAGTTTTTAGTAACTGACAGCAATAATTACATAAAAATGTACATTTTTATCGAACTGATAATGCATTATACCAAGTAATTAATTATGATATATCAGCATTCAGATAATTCCACTACTTTGGTTMGTGTATTAGCGAATTTTGGTTTGTTTTTCTGATTATATATCAACATATAGTTTAACGTAAATAGAATGGACTGAAAACGAACAGGCAGTGCTGCAGGAGACGGAGACCCGGTCGCTAATGGTTTGAAAGAGGCTTGAACGAGGAGGGAAATAATGCAATCCTGCCTTGATCGATTAGCGATTAATTGATTAATTATGATAATTAATTATCATCTAGTTTATATGATGTGTATAAAATGTTATGTAGCACTTGAAGAAAGCTTAAAGCATCCGGTTCCCCTGTGATAATAATTTCGTTTCCAGTCCATTCTTTCTTAATATGTCTTTTAAACTGTATTCACTTCAATATGGAAACTTTTATTTTTAATTACTTATCATAAAGCGCAAAATAGATCAAAGCGAAAGACGTAAAGTCATTTGGTAATTGTATGAATGAATATTTTACATATAAATAAAAATTAACGATTTACGTAATGTTAATTTATTTAATGTAAAAGCCTGAAGTAGTAATACAGAAAACATCAGATCCCCTGGCCAATAAGTAGACCTCGAAGCCTTGGGGTTACTGTAACAAATTCACTTGAATGAAAAAAAAAATTATTTTCGAACCAGTAAAAACAGAGCGGGAGCCAAAAAAAGTTGTCATCCAAGTACCCAAACTGGAACCAGATCTGATATATTGTTAAGCTTCTAGTTACCTAATAAATCGTTTTGAAATGCGAGACTAAAAACTAGAAATCAAATAAAAATGTTTATCCTGCTAGAAAATAAAGACGCTACCGTAAATTATGTAAAGCCAACACTGGAGGCAGTAACACAGTAGCCTAATTATACATAAATACCTATTATGTAATATGATATTATAACACTGTACACGACGGAAGACGGCGGTGAACAAACAACATAAATTCCAATACGTGATGTAATAGCTATTTTAAGAACACAAAATTATGAAAAATTATAAGATGATAAATTTTGTATTAACACAATAGATTGTTTAAAGGTTTCGAACCATAATTTTAGCTACCTATACAATTAAATACCGAATACAATAAGTCTATAGCTATATTATGCGCGTAAAATAAATAATACCTATTACCCATATGGCATACCTATACATAAATAAGTAAATTCAATAAGTCGTTGGTTAGTATTTGTATTAGTATTTATTTGTTTACAATACGCCCAACACACACAACCATATAAGTAATAATATATTTCCAATAATTGGTCATTATTTTATAAATAAACTGAATTTTGCATATTGTACGAATGTAATAGCAAAATGGGATCGATCGATATACAGACCACTAAAAATTAACTATTAACTACGTTATCAGTTAAGTCCTAAAGTAATATTGGATACGTACCTAATCACGACAACGATCCAGATAAGTAATATAAGCAAAATGTCCATCACAATCCAGTGCCAGCTCAAGTGCGGTGGTTTGATAAAAGTCTGTTGAAGACATTGGTCACTACTGATGGCGTCAGAACTCATCCCTTGCTAAAACATATGTAAAAATAAAAAAACAAATGTTAAGAAAGTATTAACATTAATTTTCGAAAAATCTTTATTTCCCGTCGAAATCGTTTATAGGCGTACTTTAAAATATACTGCGATACTTACATAAAAGCTGATAGAATTGCTACATTCCGGAAACGGAATACTTCCGATGATACTACGCGAACCGTAAAACAACGATAATGCCATGATTATCGGGTAGTAGGCGGCAAGCAACACGGACGCCAAAACTTTGACGAACCCGACACCTGTAAAATATTTGAAGAAACAAAACGCTCGTATCAATATATGTGTATAAAAAAAAAAGTATACCTAATAATGATTTTTATGTGATATTATATATAATATACCTTTGAGCAGAGGCACGGCTCTCCATAGCTTAGTGGTGCCCTGTTGACAAAACTGACCGAGCGTTATCTCCAAAAACAAAAGAGGAACTCCAAACACAATGGCAACTGTGAGATATGACACCAAAAATGTACCTATATAACAATACAATTCAATTAGTGGATATAATATTATTTTGTAAGGTACCTACCTGAAATATAGGTAGGTACTTATTTTGTAATCGTTTACGAGTAATTACTGTATTATTTCATAAATGCATAATTTTTAATTTTTTTTTTCAATTTAAAAAAGAATATTTCCTTAACTAATAGAAAAAATAACGATAAACAGTAAGGATATGGAAATATATATAGATATACGCACTACCAGTTATCGATTTTGTCTGACATTGTATATTCAGTAAAGAATGATTGTAACTACCTTAGTGGTAAAATAAATAACTTATAGCAAATATCATGTTAAAATATTGTTATTCCTAAAAGATAAGTCTTAGACGCAGTCTGCGCCCTGAATTGTAGTCAATGATTTATTATTGAATTTAAATTTAACACATTCATTTAAGTGACCTACTCAATAAAGAGATACAAACTGGTAGAGAGCAACTTCTCTAGGTTTTTTTGTTTTAATGAATTTCCATGATTTTGTCCATAATTTATAATTAGAACAAATTGTACATTACTGTTATTAGTATTACTTAATATTTATACGATTATACAGTTTGTTTTAACATAAATATGTGTTTGTGCTGAATTCGTGATAAAAATGTTTCTGACTAATTTTTAGTAAGGTTTACGTCGTCATGGTTACTTATTAACAAAAACATAATTATTCATAGATTTTTCCTCGTGGTGGAAAAATATGGAGTAGCGTGCTATGGCTTTTAAATTTATACATAATTTAAAGCATGTATAGGTATATCTTATATATATATTATATATAACACTGCGCGCATAGGTAGTGCAAGTGATGTAATGGAATTTTATTGATTAATTTACATTATCATAATTATTGTGCATAATATAATGAGTAAAACGTAAGGACCTATCACGATACCCATCCATTTCAAAATTCATATTTTTAATGTATAATAATTCTTAGAAATATGGTAGATATCAAAATTACCACTGACACAAAAATCGAGATGGTCGTGTAAAACTCTTATAAACACGTTGCTATAAATAGAAAAAAAAATTTTATTCCCAACTACCTATATACGTTGGATTGTTTGAGAACCATATCTATAAAAAAATACAAGGAATTGAAATGGTTTTTTTAATTTTAAAAACAAATACTGATAATCTATTACTACACTACGCTATACTGAAAATAGTATGTTCAAGCGATTAAAAAAATAATTACTTAAAATGTCCTTGTATGTTATAAAATAATGTCTGGTTCACGTTAAAATACAGGGTGATGATTACCAAGCATGACCATTGCTTTTTTTATTCAATAATGCAATTAATCAAAATCTGATTTTTGGAATTTTTATAAAAATATACTTTGAGACTATAATGTTTTAAGATGATTGCGATTTGTTAAACTACTTAAAGAGTGTTGTATTCTACAAACTCGTGTTTTTTAAATAAAAATCCTCACTGTTTATTATTATTTCTGAAAATGTTAACGACTTAAAAACAATATTCGAATCACTGAGGTATTTGACTTACATCAACATTTAAAAAAAAAGAAAAATTATCTACTAAATAATTTACCGTATAAAAAGATTCAAGTTTGAAAAACAAGTTTTTTATCGTCATATAAACACTCCTAAAGTAGTATAACAATCAGAATTTCAATAAATTAGTTACGAAAGAAAAAAGTTGAGATGGACATTATTGTTTGGTGAGTTACCCTGTATATAGTATATTATGTTTATCTATAAAATCGCGCTGTATTATATACAATAATAACACAAAGTAGACAAGCATGTAGGATTTTACTGATCACTCACGATCATATTATAATAGTTAAAAATCAAAAACCTTATAGGTACTAACCTATATATAGCTAAACCTATGCATAAACCGCGCAAGTACGATATTAAATATTATAGGCTGAACTTGATAAAAATTAATAATTCTTGTTTTTTCGTACGAAAAAATAAGTGTAATTATCTATACAATTTATTGTATCGCGTGACGTTCGTACAACAGTGCTGTCATTATGTATATATCTATGGGACAGAGAGAATAGCAATTTTTGTACGTCGTGGAAATTTTAACGCGAACCATACAATTTTTTATATCATAACTACAGTATTACACACTGTATAGTGTATATACTATTATATAAACATCAGTATTTCAGCATGTGTGTGACTTGTTAACGGAACACTTGTGTGTATATTGCACATAATAATACAATATGGTAATTCGTCATTATATGGTAATATAATATTACGCACTCAGTTATTTAGTAGCGTTTTGTATATATACACTTCACGTGCGCACATATATACGCGATCTACGGTGTGCTTATTAAAAAATAATATTGTTTTTATGGTTTTGACGGAAAGTTGCTCGATCGGATCAATCGGTGTGAATGTAAAACAAAAGAGGAAAACCTGACCTAACTGCAGTAGTCTAACTCGATCATAAATATAATATTATGCAGTTTTACTTTATAACAATAATATTATATTGCTGCAGCTGCAGTGTATAGGGAAAGTCGTGAATTCGAAGGTTTTGGATCAAAGCGAAGATAATATAATATTATTGTATTTCTATATTTTACTCTCTTTATAAAACTTGGTTAGGTATTATATTATTAAGCACTTACCACCACCGTACAGAAATACCATCCGGGGAAGTCGTATGACGTTGGCCAGACTTAACGTCAGTGAGACGGTCATCAACAGCGTGCCAAAACTCTGCAGACAATTTGATTTGCAGCAATATATCTAAGAGAAACAAAAAAAATACCATACAACGTTAGAACTCGAAAAATCAACAAACGGTTAATTGGCGGCTTTATAATTTTTTAATATTAATAAACAAATCATAAATCTTTTAGGTACTATATACATTATAGTTGTATCTGAAAATGTTGAACGGCACACTTCTGTAGCACGGCAAGAGAAACATATTATTAACCACCGACGAACATTTTTGCAGTGCGTGAATCACAACAACAATGTAACAAAGTCAATGCGAAACGAAAACATTACAATTAAAATAATAATTGTAGCTGCATCGCCGGCTGCGGCTTACTGACTAATTATTGCAGCGAGTTTTTCAATTCTGCCCACAGCTACACTTTTAGGTTTTTTTTTTTTTTACCTCGTTTACGTCTCCCGATGTCACGACAATGATAATGATCGCTGTAAAAAAACTTTTTTAACATTTTTATCGACTCCGCCTATATATGCACCTGACACTCAAATTCTCCCTTATACCACGCGCATATACTTATATTATGTTTTGTAATAACTATACTATATATAAGTACGATAATTAGATTTAGTCACAATAAGACATATACCTACAATTAATTATGTATTATGTAATATATTGTATATTTGTCATAATTTTAAGGAGTACCTACCTACATGAAAGTATTTTAAATCCATTTGAGTTTTTTTTTTTAATTTTTAAAAAGACATGATGAATGACAAAATATATTGAATGAGTATATAAATTAAACCTTTAAAATATAGATATTTACTCATTAGAATATAAGGTGAAAATATCAAAACTTTTTTAGATAAATTAAAGAATAAGTTTATGCTAATTATCTATATTCATAATGATAGTATTGCATACTTTTAAAAATCTAATTTATTGTTTACTAAGTAGGAAGTTCACATTTTTATTTTTGTTAAAGTTACAGGTTTTAACTATTTAAAACAGTCATACCCAGGCACACTCAATCCCAAAAAAATTACCATAAAAAAAATAAAAATATTATAAAAACAGAACGTGAAAAAGATATTTAAAGATATTTAATTTAAGTGTTACGGATGAAATTCGAATCTACCTGTGACGTAAATTCCGTCTACGCGCAACACTACTGGCAGACAGMCGAAGTAAATCGTTTAAAAAGAATCATATTATTATTAATAAAACATTATTTATAATTATAATCAATAAGTATGAAAATATTCTCGTCGCCTGTAATTTGTTAAACATAACATATACCTATATTTATTACTGATTCTGATTCTAAATTTTATTTTTTATTTTCAAATAATACCCAATATATAGTGTTAATGTTATAGTATTCCAGACTCCAGTATACCCCAACACATTCGTGGTCACACTCGTTTTACATTGGATAGTAGTCGTGTAATTTCTGATCTCGTATGAGTACATTTTAGATACTTGTTCACTTTTATGCCGTGTTGAAGTGTATTTATTTTTAGTAACATCAAAGGAACCAACTTATCATCGATTTACCAAACGTGAAATTCACTTACGCGTTTTAAGAAATGTACCAATTTTTGTAAGTGCATATTTTTTTACAGAACCAAAAATCATAATTTTATCATATGTATTGCTCGCTTTTACGATACGCAAAACATCTGATGTACCTATAGTAAATGCAATACCCATTTGTTACTGTGAAATCCTACTATTATTGCAATCTGCTACTTATAACATAATTATTATATTATTAGTGGTGTATTCTTGGGTATAATTCTTATAGGATTATTTTCCTTAAAATAAACAATTTAATAACTCAAAAACTACTATAGTTATTTTGATTGTGATAGGTCATCATTTCCAGAAAAATTATTTGGTAAATAATTTACGTTTGGAAAGAGAAGGGAGGGTTCTCGTTTGATAAACAAAAGTTCGAAAAAAAATCAAGAATCTAAAAAATGGTCTATTTCAAAATTCCAAAAATAAAAATCTCAATTATTTGTACTATTAAGGAAAAAATGGGGGTAAACCATCCTGTATAGTGTACCTATATACGCCATTTCGTCGGATTTATATAATCAACCGATTCATTTGAAATCTTTATCACTGCGGATGCTGTTGTGCTCACAGTTATGCTCATTATTATGATCATATTATGTGAGACGATGACGACGACCCCCTCGGGGCTTGAGAGCCTCAATAGAAATATTTCTTCTCACGTGGTACGACGAAGAAGAGTGGCCACAGGCAAAATTGAATTTCTTCTACATATCGAATGTGTGTATACTATATACTATAATATTATAGGTAACTTATAGTTAGTTTACGATATTATATAAATAATAAGAACGTCGTCATCGTAGTCACCTTTTTCGAGAGGAGACGGCGAATTCCGCACGCACACCCAAATTACATAACGGTTTGACATACGAACTACATAATATACCTGCCTAAGAAACTGTTTCAATGTGACATATTAAACGTATATTATATAGATAAACGTTTTAATAAAGAAATGATCGGTGTTTTGTCAATCAAAAAATCCGATCGTGACACTAGAAAAAAAAAAAATTATACAAAATTAAATTGTTTTTAGCACTAGCCGTGCACGGAGATAATATATTATTATTTTTGCTGTAGTACACTGTAGTAAATACAGCTGGACGATGACGAAACGGCTGGCTAACGATTTGGCCGAACTACAGCTAGGTACCATAATATAATGTATTATTGTGTTGTGTATATACAAGCGGTGACCGTTCTCAAGAGGAAAAAAAAATAACGATATGAAGTAATAGTTATTATAATAAATCGATTCTAGATGTTCTATAATTACTTAAGTACTGTTATAATGCCTCTATCAAAATGTTAAGGCACTACCATTCATGGCTATTTATATATACATAATACATATACTATATTGATACCTACTTGTAATCTATATAGTCGCGGTGGTCCTGTCTGAAAAGTTAATAATTTGGAGGAACAAGAGTCTGGTTTCAATAACTATATATTTTTGTGACTTAAACACATTACGCATTTTATTTTAATGCAACATTATCAAATTTAAAAAAAAAAACTCAATTGAATTCAAAACACTTGACCTCGCCGCGTACTCAATTAGCTGAATACGATATATACGCGTGACTATATCCATTATTGTACGCTGGTGTATGCTTACCAAATTTCAAGTACTTTATACGTATTTATCGAAGAACAATACGTTTTTTGGCAACAAAAATTAATTAAATATCTAGCTTATTTTATATCTCTGCAGAACTACATGATAATATTATATTTTGTGTAATAACGATGTAGCCCAACCAGCTTTGTTTATGTATTATATTAAAAACTAAGCAAATTATTTCAACTCTAAACAGTCTAAACATTAGCGCGTTATCACTCGGTTTAATTTTGTTTAATTTTTGTAGGAAATGTTTTTATACTTATAAAATATGATTCCTAATTTTATGTAGTTATAAATAACATCATTTTTTTTGAATTATTATATTCTGATGTCATTTTTTTTAAATAATTTTTTAGCAGTTATCACAATAATAAACAACTATATAATTTGTTTACAAAAATTTAGTATTATATATAGGTATATGTGTATACTGTATATAGTTACTTCAAGTTATATATATATATCATTGTTTAAAACCCAAGAATTGTAAGTCGTAGGTATTTAACATTTTCCACGTTATTGTATAATATTATATTAAAAATCGACCGTAATTTAGTATTTAGGTGATAACAAATATGAAAATAGTATTTTTAATGTCGGCAACGTAATCTAAAATAATATGTAGTTAGATACGTGTATCATTAGTAGACCAAATGGTACTTTCGCCCGTTAAATATGATATAAAAACTACTATTAAAATATTTAGAGAAGATACGTTGGAAAATCATTTTATACGCCGTTTTACGTTATGGATCATTTTAAACTAGACATTTATCATAAAAAAAAATGTTATAATTATGTGTATTTAATTTTATCTTCCCACGATTTCTCATACTAAATAACTAATTAACAACAAGTTACGTYCACGATTTCATTTTCCCCAGTAGACGGCAAATCTGTAGTTTTATAAACTAAAAAAAAAATTAGCTTTTGTTAGAACCCAATGACAATATCAATCAATACAGTATTCTAATATAAACTTTTTATATTAAAATATTTGTAAATAATAAAATTAAATAATTCTTTATAGTATGATAAATATAATAGCTAAATAATTTTTTAAAGCTGCGTAAATCTATATAATTAATATTCCAATTTAATGAAGCAATAAAATATTTCTAAAAATTGATTAATGACGAATTCTTGATCATGAATAATACGGTAAACATGTGTTCGAAATTCCGATTCAATTTGGTATGTAATAATATACACCTATAAATAGAAGAAAAAAACAAAATAAAATATCCAATCATTTTTAATTCGCGTGAAGAACGATAGCGTATGACTCTTTTAGTATAATATTATATACAAGTAAGATATACAATAACAAATAAAAAATATTATCAACCCATACCCAAGCAACATCCATAAAGTTCTATATTTCCTATTATGAACAATCCTTTTTTAAACAAATGTTACGTACCTATACTTATGTTATTAACTCTTCATGTAAATACCTAAAAATGTGATCAAAAGAGAATTATTCAAAAAATGCTACTTACAATACGTATTACTTCCATTAGTCATCGATGTCACAAGCGGTGTTTCAATATAAAAAACAATAGTAATAATAATAAATATTATCATAACATATTTAATCGTGTACACTCGGTCGGTATATTATATCATAGTATTAGCGTGTCGATTGGAGGCGGTAATAATACTTGTATATATAATATTACCTACTTTAAATAATCGAATTTGAAGAGTTAACAGTTTAATGACGATATATAGATGTATTAAATAAAGATGACTTATAAAGTAGTTAGCTTTGGTTTGGGTGTCACGTTGTCGGCGGGAAGTTTATAGCGGTAGTGAGGGAGGTTTCGCGAGACAGGTAACCCGATCGCG